TACATACCTGCCAGGAGAGACAGTCATGTCAGTGTGGGAGACACTACATACCTGCCAGGAGAGACAGTCATGCCAGTGTGGGAGACACTACATACCTGCCAGGAGAGACCAGTCATCCAGTGTGGGAACACTACAATACCTGCCAGGAGAGACAGTCATTGCCATGTGGGAGACCTACATACCCTGCCAGGAGAGACAGTCATGCCAGTGTGGGAGACACTACATACCTGCCAGGGAGACAGTCATGTCAGTGTGGGAGACACAACATACCTGCCAGGGGAGACAGTCATGCCAGTGTGGGAGACACAACATACCTGCCAGGGGAGACAGTCATGCCAGTGTGGGAGACACTACATACCTGCCAGGAAGACAGTCATGCAGGTGTGAGAGACACTACATACCTGCCAGGGAGAACAGTCCAATGTTCAGTGTGGGAGACACAACATACCTGCCAGGGGAGACGATCATGCCATTTGTGGGAGAACACTGTTTTTGGTAAGTTTTTGAAGTGCTTGGCAGTAACAAGCAGTGTAAACTTACATTCAATTTAACTACAGAGCAAGCACGTCAACACAGCAAGCACGTCAACACAGCAGGCACGTCAGCACAGCAAGCACGTCAACACAGCAAGCACGTCAACACAGCAAGCACGTTCAACACATCAGCACTTCCAGCACAGCAAGCCACGTCAACACAGCAAGCACGCAAAACAGGCAGCACGTCTAACGCAGCAAGCACGTCAACACAGCAAGCACGTCACCGTGAAAGAGCGCAAGTATTTACGCAAAAACGGAGCAACAACACGCAACAACAGCTGAATAACTACAAGTACATAATGTGTGGCATGCAAACAGAGCACGTGAACCTTTATTCGCCGCATGTACACACCCTACTTAAGGCTTATCCCCTCCAACAGCGAAAGGACTCATTTTTACTGAGTCTTGTGACAACCAGTTTCACCCATTCGAAGTGGGATATTGGCAGTTTGGAAGAGTATCTAATATTACTTCATATATGCTTCTAAACTGTTGTGTCTGAGCGCCTCTGCAAAGAAGTGATTATGTGTGAGTGGTGGGGGGTTTGGGGGGGGGGGGTAATATAGAAAGTATTTCCTTTTTGGGGATTTTTTTTCATATTATGATAAAAGTGGGTGGCACACCCACGCACCCCGCGAGATGCCACTGACGTGTTATTCCCGAGTAGGAATAACCCCACAAGAACATGTGTACTGTAAGGAGGCTGGAGTGGGGAATAACACCACATGGTTATTGTCAGGAGCTGGAGTGGAATAACACCACCATGGTTACTGTCAGGAGCTGGAGTGGGAATAACACCACCATGGCTCTGTCAGGGAGGCTGGTGGGGGGGGGGGGGGGGGGGGGGGGGGGGGGGGGGGGGGGGGGGGGGGGGGGTGGGAATAACACCATCATGGCTACTGTCAGGGAGGCTGGAGTGGAATAACACCTCATGCTACTGTCAGGGAGGCTGATGGGAATATCACCATCATTGCTACTGTCAGGAGGCTGGAGAGGGAAATAACACCATCATGGCTACTGTCAGGGAGGCTGGAGTGGAATAACACCATCATGGCTACCTGTCAGGGAGGCTGAGTTGGAATAACACCACCATGGCGTACTGCAGGGAGTGCTGGAGTGGGATAACACCATCAGGCTACTGTCAGGGAGCTGGAGTGGAATACACCACCGATGCTACTGTTATGGAGGGGCTGGAGTGGGAATAACTGCACCGGATGCTTACTGTTAGAGAGGCTGGAGTGGGAATAACACCACCGATGGCTACTGTTTATGGAGGCTAGAGTGGAATAACACCACCATGGTTACGTGTCAGGGAGGCTGAGTGGAATAACATCACCATGGCTACTGTTCAGGGAGATGAGGGGAATAACACACACTGGTTTACTGATCAGGTGAGGCTGGAGTGGGAAATAACACCACCAATGCTACGTTAAGGGAGGCTGGAGTGGGAATAACCCCACCGATGCTACTGTCATGGAGGCTGAATGGGAATAACACCACCGATGCAACTGTCAGGGAGGCTGGAAGTGGGAATAACACCACCCATCTGTCTGCATGGAGGCTGGAGTGGAGAATAATACCACCGATGCTACTGTCCAGGGAGACTGGGAGTGGGAATAACACCACCGATGCTACTGTCATTGAGACGGAGTGGAATAACACCACCGATTGCTACTGCTGGGAGACGGAGTTGAATAACACCACCGATGCTAGGTGACGGTGAGACTGTAGTGGGAATAACACCTCCGATGCTACTGTCAGGGAGGCTGAGTGGGAATAACACCACCCTGCTTCTGTCATGGAGGCTTGAGTGGGAATAAACGCCACCGATGCCTACTGTCAGTGAGACTGAGTGGAATAACACCACCGATGCTACTGTCAGGAGGCTAGAGTGGTAATAACACACCGATGCTACTGTCAGGAGGCCTGATGGGAATAACACCACCAATGGCTAATGTCAGGGAGCTGGAGTGGGATTAACACCACCTGATGCTACGGTCAGGAGGCTGGAGTGGGAATAACACCACCAATGCTACGGTCAGGAGGCAGGATTGGGAATTACACCACCAATAGCTACTGTCAGGAGGCTGGATTGGGAATAAAACCATCGATGCTACTTGTGTCATGGAGGCTGAGTATGAAATTACACCACCGATGCTACGTCAAGGGAGGCAGGAATAGGGAATAAACATCCACCAATGCTCGGTCATGGAGGCTGAAGTGGGGAATAACTCCACCGATGCTACTGTCAGGGATGCTGGTTGAATAACACCACCAATGCTACTGTCAGGGAGGCTGAAGTGGGAATAACACCACCGATGCTACTGTCAGGAGGCCTGGCGTGGGAATAACACACCAATGCTACTTGTCAGGGAGGCTGAAGTGGGAATAACACCACCTGATGCTACTGGTCAGTGAGGCTGAGTGGGTGAATAACACCACCATGCTACTGTCAGGGAGGCTGAAGTGGGAAAAACACCAACAGATGCTACTGTCAGGGAGGCTGAAGTGAAATACAACCACCGATGCTACTGTCAGAGGCTGAAGTGGAATAACACCACCGATGCACTGTCAGGGAGGCTGAAGTGGGGAATAACACCACATGCTACTGTCATGGAGGGGGGGCGGGAGGGGGTTTAACACCACCAATGGCAACTGTCAGGTAGGCTGAAGTGGGAATAACACCACCAATGCCTGTCAGGGAGCTGGAGTGGGAATAACATCACCGATGCTAACTGTATGGAGGCTGGAGTGGGAATAACATCACCACCGATCTACTGTCAGGGGAGGCTGGATTGGGAATACATCACCGCTGCTACTGTCATGAGGCTGAAGTGGGAATAACACCACCGATGCGACTGCATGGAGCTGGAGTGGGAATAACACCACCGATGCTACTGTCTGGGAAGGCTGAAGTGGGAATATACCCACCGATGCTACTGTCATGGAGGCTGAGTGAATAACACCACGATGCTACGTCAAGGCTGGAGTGGAATAACATCACCGATACCTACTGTCAAGGAGGCTGAAGTGGGAATAACACCACTGCGATCTACTGTCATGGAGGATAAGTGGGAATCACACCACCGATGCTACTGTCAGGGAGGCTGGAGTGGGAAATAACATCACCGATGCTACTGTCATGGAGGCTGAAGTGGGAAGAACCACCACCGATGCTAAAACTGTCCATGGAGGGCTGAAGTGGGAATAACACCACCGATGCTACTGTCAGGGAGGCTGGTTGACGCTTTGTAATGCCAAATCAAGAATAATAACAATAATAATTAATAATAAAACTAATAATAATAATAATAACAAATAATAATAATTATAATGAAATATAATAATTTCGACACTGTCCAGCCTCAGAGTTATCTCTGAGTTGACCAGACCTTGCACGTGGAGGCCAGTGGTTCGTCTTTAAGTTCCCCCCCCTCGCCTTCCCCAGGTTCATGTGTCCAGGAATTCATCCGTGGCCCCCGGATGTCTCCCCTTCCACATTTTACCTAAGGTCAGCCTCGCCTCTCTTTCTCTCTCTGCCTCCAGCCTCAGCCTTCCCCTCAGGTTCATGTGCCCAGAATCCATCCTGTCTGCCTCCGATGTTTCCCTTCCTCACATCCCTAGAGGTCGATCCTCACCAACCAGTTTACCTTCTTGCTGTCCCCAGGTTCATGTATCCAGAATCCTTCCGTCTACCGCCGGATATCTCCCTTCCCCACTTACCCAAGTCAGCCTCAACTGCATGAATCTTGCCTTGCCAAGGTCATGTATCCAGGGATCCATCCGTTCGCTCCCGGATGTCTCCCCTTCCACCCACTTTTTACCCAAGGTCACCCCCGACAAACCTCTCAAGTTCATGTAATCCAGGAATCCATCCGCTCGCTCTGGGGATGTCTTCCCTTCCCCATTTCACCCTAAGGTCGGCGGTGCCTTCCCCCGAATCAGTGTCTTCAGAAATCCACTTATGTCACCTCAGGTGAACTCCCCTCCCACTTCCCCAAGGTCAGTCGGTATTCTTGCCGTCCGCAGGATCATGTATCCAGAATCCATTCCGTCTACCGCACGATATCTTCCCTTCCCCACTTACCCTAGGATCATGCCTCAACGTCATGTATTCTAGCCTTGCTCATGTTTCATGTATCCAGGAACCATCCGCTTCGCTCCCGGATGTATCCCCCTTCCCACTTACCCAAGGTCAGCCTTCCAACTGCATGTATTCTTGCCTTGCTCAGGTTCATGTATCCAGGAATCCATCCGCTCGCTCCGATGTCTCCCCTTCCCCACTTACCCAAGGTCAGCCTCAACAACAACCTTCCTCAAGTTCATGTATCCAGGAATCCATCCGCTCGCTCCGGATGTCTTTCCTTCCCCATTTCCCTAAGGTCGGCGGTGCCTTCCCCGGATCAGTGTCTCCAGGAGTCCACTTATGTCACCTGAGTGGACTCCCTTTCCCACTTCCCCAAGGTCAGCGGTATTCTTGCCATTCCCAGGATCATGTATCCAGGAATCCTTCCGTCTACCGCCGGATATCTTCCCTTCCCCACTTACCCAAGGTCAGCCTCAACTGCATGTATTCTTGCCTTGCCAGGTTCATGTATCCAGGAATCCATCCGCTCGCTCCGGATGTCTCCCCTTCCCCACTTACCCAAGGTCAGCCTCAACAACAACCTTCCCCAAGTTCATGTATCCAGGAATCCATCCGCTCGCTCCGGATGTCTTCCCTTCCCCATTTCCCTAAGGTCGGCGGTGCCTTCCCCGGATCAGTGTCTCCAGGAGTCCACTTGTGTCACCTGAGTGGACTCCCTTCCCCACTTCCCCAGAGTCAGCGGTGCCTTCCCCGGATCAGTGTCCCCAGGAGTCCACTAGTGTCACCTCAGGTGGACTCCCTTCCCCACTTCCCCAGAGTCAGCGGTGCCTTCCCTGGATCAGTGTCTCCAGGAGTCCACTAGTGTCACCTCAGGTGGACTCCCTTCCCCACTTCCCCAGAGTCAGCGGTGCCTTCCCCGGATCAGTGTCTCCAGGAGTCCACTAGTGTCACCTCAGGTGGACTCCCTTCCCCACTTCCCCAGAGTCAGCGGTTGCCACCTTCAGTGACCTCGCTGCATGGAAACTTGGTCTTGTCTAGCTGGTCTACGGTAGAGACTGTCCAGGTGGGTGGAATTACTGGAGGTGACACACACAGAAAACTGCGTCCAGTAATTACACCCATCAAGACAGCCGCGACCGTAGGTCAGCTAGACGCCACCAAGCTGCCTCACAGTTCCGCCACCTCCGAGAGGCTAATTAACATAAATTTTGGAAATCCTTTTATGTTACACTATGAAAATATACTGAGAACAAGTTGTTTTTTTACTTATTTAGCTGTTTAAAAGTATTTGTGAGTGTTTTATTATTGCAGATGAATACCCAAATATTGGTTAATTTGTCCACCACCATCATAACTATGTTAAATATTACACTGCTTTCATTTTTGTTTATTTATCCGTCTTTTACATTTTGCACTGAAAGCCTAACAAGCACAGAAATTGTTTGCATACACATATATAAGTATTTTCACAAATATTTATACGTTTAAACACATTCACCTTACTCATACATCATTATACATACACTTGCATACATAAAAAATCACACGCAATCCCATGTACTACAAATACGCACACAACAATGTACACAGTTATCTCCTACCACAATAATATGTCTGAGATCACACATACATACACACAAATATATCACTCCAAAGCCCATCCCACGAACACTTATGTACACATACATGTGTACACATTCTCATAGACATACATGTACTCGTCCACATGATTAAACAATGTAGCAGAGACAATATATGGGAAATTTAGATATGAGTATTTGCTTCAATATTCAGAATATATAAGACAAAAAAATGTTGGTTTACAGTAATTTGAGAACATTGTTTGTGTAACTTGTGAATATTTAAAGATGTGACAGCTGTACCACGGAACTTTTTTTTATATTTTATTTAAAAAACTGCATATACATAATACATTGTATTACTTACAAAACAAACCACAGTGAAAATAAATAAAAGGTACATACAGTGAACTTCATACCTCTCCGAACATGAAATTAAACACCAACATTACAAAATAGTCAATAAACCAACCACATCCACTGTAACTTTATAGAAGTACTTAGTATTGATGACAATACATACTACACATACATATTTTTAAATCTATATATAATTATATATATATTTTATAAAATATATATACACATACAACACACACACAAAATATATTTAAATTTAAAATTAATATAAAACTCAGATCGGTATAAAAAAACAAATAATATAGTTTATTTCCCAGTCAAAAGTATTGGGCCCCTAAACAGGAGCCCCATACCTAACACAAAACCCCCAGAATTTTGAACCCAAACCTTCCACATCCTTACAATACGAATTTTATAAACAGGCAAATACAATAATGTTATAGTAAAAAATTTAAAAACCATACTGGGTTTTTAAAAAAACCCTAGTGAAAAATCCCGGTACATTTTAAGAAACCATAGATAAAGGGCCCAAATTACAACCATATACTCCCCCCCAAAACCCTATACAAAAACCTAAAAACCCCTCCTTTTATAATAATATTATTACCGTGCAACACGCTGCATTTACCCCCCCTCCCCGTTTGTAAAGCCCCCTTCTAAATACATACATTGAATTACCTAATGAAAGGTATCCCTGCCCCTCATCAAACTAAAAGTTGGTGTGCATGACAAGACAAAACCCCAAATTTTCACAGACTAAAACAGATTAAAACATTAATTTCCTAGACACATACATGTAATAAGTGAATATTACCCCCCCTATGATATAAAATTTTAATTTTAAACCGAATTACAAACTTAAAAAACTTTTGAAATTTGTAGTTCACACTCAAAATACAAGAAAATACCCCACTGCCATAGTAGGGCAAAATACTAGGCTATGTAAAAATTTAAAGAACCGGATTAAATAAAACCAGATTTTAGTTATAAGACTAAGGTTGCTGTAATGTCCCCAGCCCCCAAAAAGAATGAACATACCCAGAAAAATTTTGTGTTGATCCCAAGTGTCAACTAATTATTAAAAAAACAGTTAAAAGGGTCGGTACCCCGGGTTTTAAAGGAAATTTTAACCCAGTGAACATAACCATCAGGCTTGAAAAGTACCCTGGAAAACCAACTTATATCTCATATGCAAACTTTCTTAAAACGGCTTACCATCCATACCAATTTCATACCTTCCTCTTACACACATCAGTTCCAGAAAAACAAAAAAACCCCCCCCCCCTTTACATCCCCCCTTAAGGAGCCCCACCCCTTTGTCCCCCCTAGGGACCCCGCCCAAGGGAACCCCACGTGGGGTTTCCTTTTAACCTTCGGGAAATTTTTTTCCCCAGACGCCCCATAAACCAATTTTCCTAACTTCGTCCTATAGAATCTGGCCCCCCAACGTTTTTACCCTCTTTATCCCCCCTTAACCCCTTTTCCCCCATGAAATGCCCGATAATCCACTATGTTACATTTACCCCTTCCTAACCCCTAGCACTCCCCCTACATCCAGTATTTTCCCCTTTAAAAGCGACAAACGACCCCCCCCCAACAGTTGAAAACCCCCCACCCTCCATGATCTCACCCCCCCCAAGGGGTACAAAAAAAAACCACATGAAAGCCTTTCAACTCCCCACAAAAATGACAAAAAGCCTCTTCCAAAAATCCCATTACGAAACACCCCCTGGAACCCGAACCCCCTGAAAACCTATATAAAATTCTCTTACTCTAGCCGGTTCCCAAAGCTTACTAAAATTTTTCCCATAAAAACCCCCCAATATACTTTGGATAACGGCTACCCCTTGAAAATTCCTTGACTTTCATACCCTCCCCAACCGTTTCACTTTGTTTTACCCACCTGTTGCACTGCAAAAAAAATCTCAAATATTTACAAACCCTCAATTCCCTTTCCCCCACTCCCCCATTTACGTGCCTTCCAAAATCTTCCTATTTTGCGCCCCCCCCCCCTTCCCTCATTACCTCCCCCTTGATATATCAGCCATGACTCTCAGTCTAAAGTCAACAAACCTAAACCCCCTCCCCCGCACACCCGTCATAACTCCCTCCTTATTAACCATGCCCCCCCCAATCCCCCCCCCACCCCCCCCTCTGCATTTCCAAAATATTTTCGTACCTCTAAGGGAAAAAAAAAAACCTTGCCCCCCCCCATCCCTTGCTTTATAGCAAGTAAATTTACCACCATCCCTTGGTAAAGTAAGTCCCTCGATTTTAACCCCCTAGTAACTTAAAACCTTCCCCTGACGACCCCGAAATTTACCTTCTGCTCCCTGCACTTCCCCCCAAAAACCAATCCCCATACCTTGATTCTGTAACCCACGTCCACCCAAACCCCTATCCCAACCCCCCCCCCTTACCCAAATTTACCGACCTCTAGAAACCTTGATTTCACCGTTTTAAATCTCTTCCGGTATTTTTTCCCAAACTTGAATCATTTTTCCCCCCCCTCCTTAACTCCCCCTTCCCCCTTAGCATAAACAGTGATCATCCATCCCCAAACGATGCCCCTTTGCACCCCCTTCATTCCTGATTGTTCTTACCCCCCTCAACGACTCATAAAAAGGATTCTGCCCCACACGCAAAGAGCAGCTGTGCATGGACACCCCTGTTAAAACTCCTCCATTGGTACACTTTCACCCAACCCCCCCTTGACCTGTACCCTCACCTCACCCCCTCTAAAGGGGTTACCCACCTCATCCCCCCTCCCGAAAACCCAACCTCTCTAAGCAAACCCCTAAGAAATCTCTGTCACGCAATCAAAGCATTCCCCAAATCTAAACCTAGTTTTCCCCCCTCCCGAAAATCCCAAAAACCCCAAATCACCCCCATGTCCACCCTCACCCTTTTTTCCCGGGAAATTCCCCAATGCCCCCATGTAACAAAAAACCCCAAAAATTTTCCCTATTTGTTGCCCAAAACCTTAGCAAAAATTTGTAACCCGGCACATTAATAATCGCCCGTAATCATTCAAAATCGGCTTTCCTTTTTTGGGCACTAAAACCGTGACACCCGTTCTTTGTGATTTCCCCTCCTCCAAATTTAACTAAAATTCAAAACCCCCCCCAAACAATGCCGTACACCCCCCCAAGATCCTAAAAAAAATCTTTTTTGGTGTCGTCTTGCCGGGGGTTTTTCCCCTGGCCCATCCAAAAATGCCCCCCCATCCTCTACAGTAATACTACCTCGTTTTCTGTTACGGTCCTGCCCCTTAATTTTTATTAACCCTTACCCAAACCCGCCCCTCACCCACCCCCCTCCCACCCTCCCCCACTTCTCCCAAAACCAAAATTGCATACAAACTAATATTTTCCCTGGTGGAAGGCCTTGACCCCCCTCAAAACCCCCCCCCCTGTTCCCGCCTCAATATACGCCAGGTGGTCTTGCCCGCCGTTTTAAATCTTAATACAAACCGATGGCCTATCTCCCCCTTTAAAACCTCCCAACCCTGCCCAACTCGAATTGCCTAAATTTTTTTATTGTGAATTTCCCCAACTATTTCGCAACGTTCCCTGTCCTCACCCGCCCCACATTCCCCTTTCTAACGTATTTAATGACCCCCAGATAATTTTGTAGGCCCTAGCTCACCTGCCCCCTCCCTTTCCCCGTACTTTTAAAAAAATTTCCTATTTCAACTTTACCCCCATTTCCCCCCAATCCAGCAAATCCATTTTCCATTTCCCAGTCTCCCACAAGGATTTCCCCCAATCTTCAAACCCCCCTGGTTTATTTTTCCCTAAATAGCCCCACATTTAATTTCCCAAATCCGCATAAACCCTCACTATGCCATCTACCCCCAAATTGCTATAACAGCACGTGATCAGAAAAACCCCCATCAAGTCCTACCCTCTCCAACCTATGCCCCGCCTAAAAATCCATTAACCCTTTCCCCATATCCCTCGAAAAAATGTGCTCCCCCTCCAAATCCCTACTTCCCCCCCATTACTGCTCCAACATCTCGCAAAAAAATCCCCCCCAGGACCCCAAACACAACCCCCCCCCTCGGAACCACTCACCCTTTCCCAGCCCATTCCCAAACCCCCCAAAACCGAAAAAAACAGGTAAAACCCCTCAAATGATTACCAGAAAAATCGCGTACAAAATCCACCCTTTCCCCTAGTGTTCAGTTGCTGGCAGTACACACCTACAAACTAAAACCCCCCTGGCCCCCCAAAAAACCCCCCCACCCCGAAACCTCCCCCCCCCCCCCTCCTCCCCAACCCCGGATACGCAAGGGCTGGTCTCCCTTTTCCGCCACGCCACACCCCCTTTCAACCCCAAAGCAAATGTAAACAACCCATACCTTTCAACAACAGCTCCATCCAACCCATGGGTTTTGTTCCCGAAAAAAAAAAGACATCAATGCAAAAATTTCCCCAAAACCCCTCTAAAAACCCTACCCCCTTGACCTCGTTTTTTTAAACCCTTTCATTGAAAGTTTCACACTGAAATTTTTCAGAAAGGCGGCTTTTCCCCCGTGCCGGAGGCTTTCTTGGTCCTCCTTTTAGGGCTCGGTTCTTTTTACAACCCTCGTTCCTGCCCCCCCAACCCCCCCCTGCCCCTTCCACCCAGCTTCC